GAAATTTTGAAATGTGTACATATCTTTCATAATACTCATTTTTATGAACTTTCTGAAGATCCCTAATATAACTATATGTATTATAATTTATAACATAATAACATTATTATTGTCCCTGAGACTCTGTTTCTCAATCCTGGAAAAGAGGGGATGGTGCAATTATGTCAGACTGTGTCACTTCTGCTGTCAGTTGTTTAAACAACTCACACTGCTCACACTGCAAACTCCTGAGAGGTAACAGCAAGCTTCCCTTCTACAATCTGGAATATAAATGGACCTTAGTTGGACCTGCTTAAGAGCAGACAACCTGGGAACAATACTCTAACAGCATCTCAAATGCCTCTGTAATACTTTAGGAGAAATGCAACTAACAGGGGACCACACAGAGGACAACTGCCTCTAAAAAATACAATGATTAAGATAATAACATATAAATATGTAATTTACATAACACAACCTATATATTTATGATTTTATAGTCTACAGATATTTACACGTATTTATATAAATACATATGCACATCATAAGTATAATTTATTTATAAATAAAAATAAGATTATAAATAGAAACATTACAAGCCCAAATAACTTTAATGCAGCCAGATCACATTACAAAGCAGAAGCCACAACTTTCCAGACATGCAACAGGAACCCCGGGGAGGTCAGGAAGATTGCTGATGTAACACCCTGTGATTCCAAGCACCACTACATTGTTATCAGGATATAGCTAGATGCTGGATACTTACATATAAAAGACATTCAAGTCATACCCTCAACATTAACCAGGTTGCGACAAAAGTCATTCTGAATCACGTTTAAACTTATTCTGAATCTTGTTACCAACGGATTGAGTGTTGACTACTCTGCGAGAAATCTCCTGGCGGTAGCAGAAGGGGTTAAGTCCCTGCCTGTGACTGGATGCCAACATCCTGTATTGGGAAGGTCAGCTGAGTCCTGGCTGCTTTCCAAATTGGCTCCCTGGTAATGTACGTGGGCACCTACCCTTCACAGGGAAGACCAGGATAGATTTCCAGGCTCCTCGCTTCGGGCCCTTGTGGCCACTTGGGGAGTAAACCAGCAGAGGGAAGATCTGTCCCTCTCCCCCATCACTCTGCCTATCAACTAAATTTAAAGAACCTTGAGGCACACTTGTGTTTGAGATGAAAACCACATTTCCTCACAATTTTTTCTTAGAATGTCTGCATAGGAAATGAAGCTGCAGTCCACACTCCAGTTCTGTAATGGCTAATTCATTCTAATGACCCCACTCACTGAATAATTTCACTTGCACAGGGCTTGACCTTACCAGGACTCTGGCTCCTCTGGATTCTACTTTCCTTCTATGCTGTGTATCACGTTAACTCCATGATCAAGACATGTAATTCCGGAAAGCAGTGCACTGTGCTCTGCACCAACGGGATATTTATGGCATTCCTTCTGTGAACTGTGGCCAAATATCCAAAACATGGAAAATAAGGATACAGGAAGCTACAGCGACTCTCACCCCAACCCAATGAGTCTATTTCCAAGACAGGATACAAAATAAGATTTAACCTACTGTGGATTTCCTAGCTGCTCGGCTGGTGTTAGAGGACACACTAACACATACTTTTAGATTCTTTACAGCAATAAGACAAAGAAGCCAAGAAAGGGGCCGGAGCTGTGAAGTAGCAGGTAAAGCCGCCGCCTACAGTGCCAGCATCCCAACTGGGTGTCAGTTCAAGTCCTGGCAGCTCCACTTCCAATCCAGCTCTCTCCTATGGCCTGGGAAAGCAGTGGAAGATGGCCCAAGTGCTTGGGCCCTGCACCCATGTGGGAGATCCAGAAGAAGCTCCTGGCTCCTGGCTTCAGATGGGCCCAATTCCAGCTGTTGTGGCCAACTGAGGAATGAACCAATAGATCTGGAAGACTTCTATCTCTGCCTCTGTCTCTGCGTAACTCTGCCTTTCAAATAAATGAATAAATAAAAAATCCAATAAAAAAGATTAGGCAAAAAGTAAGTATTTAGAAAAATAAATAAAAATGACCCATAAAATGAAAACATGTTCAATGAGACAAACACAAGCAGTCATTTTTTTCACATATCAGATTAACAAAACTAAGTTTGGTTGGAAGATTATGAGGATAAAACACTCATACATTTATTATTCATAACATATATCCTGGGAGTATAAATTCCTACCTTATTTTTTGGATGACAACCTTATTAAAAGAGAATCAGCATATACTCTTATATTCACTGCAAAGAATTTACACTCTGAATGTACCTGAGAAAGTATGTATGGTTTGAATTTATTAATTTTCACAGTAATTTTTATATCAAAATGAGAAATAATAAACATTAGGAGCACACTCATATCATAGAATATTACTGAAGCATTTTGACAAAATGTTATGTAAATATTACCAATGCTATGATACAACACCTCTGCATAAACTGATACAGATACAATTTAATATATATTGAACACATGTATATCAATGTGTCTGTGTATGTGGTCAGTATCTGCAGGAAGAACAAACACAAACCAACAATGGTTACCTTTACAGGAAATGGGGAAAGTAAGTCTTTGCATTTTATCCCATTCCACTCCATTTGTTTCTAACTGGGGAACCATCCTGCTTGCCCCAGCTTGAAGAATGTGGCCAGGCTGAGTTTGTTTCATGAACCACTGGAATTCAACACGTCTAAGATATTCTTCAGCAGAACACTAAGGCTGATGGTTCTCAGCTATGACAATACACTGGCATTAACCCGGGATGCCTTACAAAAAGAATACAGGTCTCTAGGTCCAATCCCCAAAGACTCTGACCTAATTATATGGGTGTAGCCTGCGTTTGGGAATTTTAAAAGCTCTCCAGGTGGTACTAACACACAGCCAGTGCTGAGAACCACCAGAACGGGTCCCTTAAATGATGCTCGAATGACAAATATGACCCAAGTACAAGAGGGCTGCGTGCCAAGCAAGAATCCCGCACCTGAGGTCCCAGGTAGTGTCACCAATGACCCCTGCCCCACTGGGAAACTGAGGCCCACAGGAAGGACAAAGAGATCCGTCACACTGCTCTGCTGGGTGACTCTCCTCTACTCTGCGGCCCTGGCTGACTACAGAAGGTCCCAACCACAGAATCGGAGGACTGTCCGTGTGTTTCCTCATGCTCCGCATTAAAAGAATAAACATTCAACAACGCCCTCCCTGACTGGCCTTCACAAACTTAGCTGGGACGGCTACCGCCACAGAGTACGCATGGAAAACCCATGGTGTTGTTCTGGAAAATTTCTTACTTGCTGTATTCTCAATGTCTCATTTCTTGGCAATATTGTTCTAGAGGGTGAAAAATATGTAAGTACTTTTTTTTTTTTTTTGGACAGAGTGGACAGTGAGAGAGACACAGAGACAGAGAGAAAGGTCTTCCTTTTGCCATTGGTTCACCCTCTAATGGCCGTTGCGGCCGGCACACCGCGCTGATCCGAAGCCAGGAGCCAGGTGCTTCTCCTGGTCTCCCATGGGGTGCAGGGCCCGAGCACCTGGGCCATCCTCCACTGCACTCCCGGGCCATAGCAGAGAGCTAGCCTGGAAGAGGGGCAACCAGGACAGAATCCGGTGCCCTGACCGGGACTAGAACCTGGTGTGCCGGCGCCGCAGGTGGAGGATTAGCCTAGTGAGCCGCAGCGCTGGCCTGTAAGTACTTTCGAAGAGTCAATTTAGCAAGTAAGTTTCCCTTAGAATTCCTATCACTGATTTTCCTAGTAAACCAGATAACAGCCTCATAAAATACAGTCACCAGAATATAGAAGCTGACCAAGATGAAGGTGAAAATGGCCAACTACCCCTCCAAAAAAGCTATAAAACTTAAATATTCACAAAACTTATAAAAGCTACACAAAATAGCTGCTCTTACCTAGGCAGAGTGTCTGTGGATTAAATGATCTGGGGCTGGTGCCGTGGCTCACTAGGCTAATCCTCCACCTTGCGGCACCGGCACACCAGGTTCTAGTCCCAGTCGGGGTGCCAGATTCTGTCCCGGTTGCCCCTCTTCCAGGCCAGCTCTCTGCTGTGGCCAGGGAGGGCAGTGGAGGATGGCCCAAGTGCTTGGGCCCTGCACCCGCATGGGAGACCGGGAGAAGTACCTGGTTCCTGCCTTCGGATCAGCGTGGTATGCCGGCCGCAGCGGCCATTGGAGGATGAACCAATGGCAAAGGAAGACCTTTCTTTTTTTTTTTATTTTTTTTATTTTTATTTTTTTGACAGGCAGAGTGGACAGTGAGAGAGACAGACAGAGAGAAAGGTCTTCCTTTGCCGTTGGTTCACCCTCCAATGGCCGCCGCGGCCAGCGCGCTGCGGCCGGCGCACCACGCTGATCCGATGGCAGGAGCCAGGAGCCAGGTGCTTTTCCTGGTCTCCCATGGGGTGCAGGGCCCAAGCACTTGGGCCATCCTCCACTGCACTCCCTGGCCACAGCAGAGGGCTGGCCTGGAAGAGGGGCAACCGGGACAGAATCCGGCGCCCCGACCGGGACTAGAACCCGGTGTGCCGGCGCCGCTAGGCGGAGGATTAGCCTAGTGAGCCGCGGCGCCGGCCTGGAAGACCTTTCTCTCTGTCTCTCTCTCTCACTGTCCACTCTGCCTGTCCAAAAAGAAAAAAAAAAAAAAAAAAAAAAAAAAAGATCTGTACTAAGTCAAGATTTGTTCTTGAGCACCACAGAACACACACACACACACACACCCCTATCTGTCCGGCTCTGTCAGGAAGAGCCCAGCCTTAACGTACTCAGGGTAACTGTCAGTTTTCAACATGTACCATGTAATTAATATAGTAAAATGAGCTCACCTTGAGGGTTTAGTTGATAAATTTTCAGTTTAAAATAATTTTAACTTATTATTAAATTTTTAAAAGTATTATCTGAAGAGTTAGCCACCATATATTTTTATTTTATTACAAGATATTTTAAAATCTGGGCAGTTATAATTGCGACAGAAAACCAGCTTCATACCAAAAATACACTTTCAATTACTTTATCAAGCAAATAAAAAGAATCTTCATTTATTTGCTATTTCCAGAAGCTAATGTACAGTAAAAATTTAACTTTGTGGGTGACAGAGATGTAATTAAGCATTCATACAAATGATATGTATTGAATGTTCAGAAACAAAAGTAAAAATAAATAGCAATGATAAAACTTTGGAAAAAATAATGCACATTTTAGTTGTGGAAAATATGTTTCTTAATTATATATACATAGTCATACTTAATAAAATTGCACAAAACATGGGACCAATAATGCATAATATTTTATAGCATGTAATACTATAATCCTAGGCAGCTGTTCCTTAACTCCAGGATATAAAACACGTAAGTCCGTAATAGAATAAAAGGTATGCAGTACTGTTTGAGAAAGACTGTCTTCCTCAACTCACATTAACCTGTAGTAATCCTACAAAAGGCTGTACAGGAAATTTCACAAAAAGAAATATTAAATAATTCTCATGCCCACTTCATGCTGACTAAACAGCCAAAAATGGGCTTCAAAGTAAACCTGGTGGTTATTTAATATTTTCAATTCTTTTTATATACTAAAGATCATTTTTTTGTTCTATAAAAACACTTCGTGTTTAATCATGATTAGCAATTTCAGCACAAGAAAAATCCTGGCAAAATGGAGTCAGTTCACACTTATTGTATTTTCCCGAATAAAATACTTCAGGAGGTAAGAATTTATAGAAAAGAAACACTTAATGCTCAATTTGCTTGTAACCAGAGTCTTATCAGGAGTGCTATTACATTATTTAAAAACCCCAGTTAAACTCCGTTATAAGAAAATCAAAGGTAGCATTTCCATTTGTACTATGGCACAGCCCTCAGTTCAGAGAAAAATACACTCTGGGGACCCAGAAAAAATTGCACGAAGCGTAGAGGCAACCTGAAAAGCTCTTGGTGAAAAACAATTAAGTACTCTAGGGCAATAAAAAAATATGTGCTGACTTAATTACAAATATTTACATTCAAAACAGAATCATGAGTTTAGCTACTCAGCCGCTCAAGACCAACAGTTCATAGTATTTCAGAAAGTAGGATGTGTCCACAGCGTATGTGACCACATTTAAATGCATAGAATACAGTCTGTTATCTATCGTATCTATAAAACAAAGCTGTTTAAATGTTCAAAGCTGTACAACCAAAAGAATTGAGCAAATACTTTTATTATCTCACATAAATTATACTTTTAAGTACTACTGATCTCACTCATTTGTTCAACCACTTGTCCTAAAATCTCATCGACCACATCAACATCGTAATTCACTTGCTGAAGATCAAGGTCAGGCACAATCATAGCCAGCAGCTGTCCTACATTAACGCGAAGAGATCGAAGTTTGAGGCTGCAAATATAAAGATTAAACTTATTAGGTAAGCATTACGATACAACCTATAGTCATGCAGAGCTTACAAATTAAAAGTGAAAACATTAAAATCAAATCTCTATAGAATCATAAGATTCAATGAAATGAAAAGCAAAAGTTCCCCCTAGAGAACTGGGGCTAACAACAATTCATTATATCCATTGGATGCTAGCCTAAACCCAAGTATAATGTTTCATAAAACCACTGGCTGTTTGGTTCCTATGAGACTTTTAATTTGTAGACTGATGAGAACATGGACTAACAAAACACATCAAATAGAAGACATTATTTACAATTTAAAACATTGTTATACTTGAAAAACATTAATGATGTGCTATTGAGAACACTGATCTAAAAACAAGGCAGCTGTTTGAATTTCAGCTTCCCTTTGAGAAAAATAAATTAAAACATACCCTGAAACATGTTCTATGAGATAATTTATGGTCTTATGAAGAAAAAAGGTTCCACGCTCAAAAAAGCTTATGGCTTCCATTTTCAGAAACACTGGTCAAAGGGCTGGTTCTGGCACAGTGGGTAAAGCTGCAGCCTGCCAACACTGGCATCCCATATGGGCTCCAATTTGTGTCCTGGCTGCTCCACTTCCAATCCAGCTCCTTGTTTAAGCACCTAGGAAAGTAGTGGAAAACAGCCCAAGTCCTTGGGCCCCTGCACCCACATGGGAGATCCAGATGAAGCTCTTGGCTTTGGCCTGGCCCAGGCCCAACTGTTGCAGGCATTTGGGGGAGTGAACCAGCGGGTGAAGATCTCTCTCTCCCTAACTCAGACTTTCAAATAAAAAATAGTAAATCTTTTAAAAAAAATAAGCAACACTTGACAAGACTTCTTTGTATTTCTTGGTCTCAAAGCTTACAAGCATGCTTTATTTCCAAGAACAGTTTTAATGAAATCCTATTAATACTTAAGCTAAGTGGGGCCGGCACTGTGGTGTAGGGGATTAAGCTGCCACCTGCAAGGCCCATATGAGCACCAGATCGAGTTCCCCACTGCTCCACTTCAATCCATCTCCCTGCTAACGCCCCTAGGAATGGAGTGGAAGATGATCCCAAGTGATTGGGCCCCGTCCAATGTGAGAGATCTGGATGGAGCTCCTGCCTACTGACTTCAGTCTGACCCAGCCCCAGCCATTGTGGTCATTTAGAGAGTGAACCAGCTGACTTTAGATCTCTCTATGTCTCTTCTTTCTCTTTCTCTCTCTCACTCTCACTCTTTCAAGTAAATAAAGCTTTAAAAATAAGGGGAAAAAAACTTACACTAAAAGGCTAATAATTAATGTCAACTGAGGATGGCAGATGGCATTTCTAAACAGTAGATTCTTATAGATCTCAAAATAACATCACTTAGCAGGTCAGAGCTGCACAACTTAATGACGATTTCTAAATGACAATGACAAACCAACACCATCACCAACATTGTCATCCTCTGCCTGTCCCACCATTTAGGGACGAGCATTTATTACAGCAGTTTATATGTTTGTTTCCCCTACTGGAATGCCTGAATTCAAGCCCCAGATCCATTCATTTACAAGTTCCTGCCAATATGCACTCCGAGGCAGCTGGAGATGGCTCAAGCAGTCGGTTCCTTGCTGCCCACCTGTCGAGACCAGGACTGAGTTTGAGGCTCCTGACTTCAGCCTGGCTGAGCCCGAGATGCTGTGGGCGTTTGGAAAGTAAATCAATAGGTGTCTCTGTCTCTCTGTTTTTCAAATAAGTAAAAAATAAAGAAACCAAAAGTAAAAACAAAATCAAACTAAAACTAGCCTCGAACCCATTATCCCATCTTGCTGAAATAGTAATCATTCATAGTCCTGCACTATGGCAATTTGTAGTAATTTTGATTTAAGGAGGGTATACAGCAAAATAAGAACAGAAACCATAAAGATATGGAGCCCAGTACAAAAGAAAAGGAAAAACCCACCCACCTGGAGAAGTGTGTTTCAAGTTCCTTTCTTCTACTTAAGACCAAATTCACCCCATTCTTTAAGATCTAGCTCAAACTTTCTAGACCTCATTGATAAAAAGCTTTGTTTCTTCTAAATCCCTGTGTTGTCAGGATTTGAAATACATGCATAGTTTTTCATAATATCCATTTTCTATTAATTTTTTAAAGCCCCCTCATATCTCTCTTGTGGAATGCTGGAGTCACAGTAGACAAGATGTTTTCCATAGAATAGTCTTTATCTGGGGCCAGTGCTGTGGCATAGCAGTTAAAGCTGCCACCTGCAGTGGGGCCGGTGCTGTGGCACAGCAGCTTAAAGCCCTGGCCTGAAGTGCCGGCATCCCATACGGGCACCGGTTTGAGTCCCGGCTGCTCCTCTTCCAGTCCCGCTCTCTGCTATGGCCTAGGAAAGCAGTAGAAGATGGCCCAAGTGTTTGGGTTCATGCATCCACCCAGAAGAAACTCCTGGATCCTGGCTTTGGATCAGCCCAGCTCTGGCCATTGCGGCCATCTGATGAGTGAACCAGTGGATGGAAGCTCCCCAACCCCCCACAGGAACTCTGCTTTTCAAATAAATAAATAAATCTTTTTTTTTTTTAATGGTCTTTATCTGATGTGTGCTAATAGATATAGCTCACCATAATAGCAAGCCTAGCAAAAAGCCTCAGGTAATATTACCTTTCCCCATCCGTGTAATTTACAGACTGGTCAATGTTACTTGAAGTTGAAACATCTGTTCCCATTGGTTGATTAGTAGATTTTAGCTGATTGATTTCAGTTTTGAGTTCTTCACACTGTGAACGAATTTGTGACTTTTCCATTTCCAGTAATTCAACCTGTCAAAAATTTATAAATTTTATAACAAATATTGTAAAATACTACCAAAGTACAAACTTAAGCTAAGAAATGGAGGGAGGGGCCAGCACCGTGGAGCACTAGGTTAATCCTCCGCCTGTGGCACCAGCATCCTGGTTCTAGTCCCAGTTGCTCCTCTTCCAGTCCAGCTCTGCTGTGGCCTGGGAAAGCAGCAGAGGATGGCCCAAGTGCCTGGGCCCCTGCACCTGCATGGGAGACCAGGAAGAGGCACGTGGCTCCTGGCTTCAGATTGGCGGAGCTCTGGCCGTTGCGGCCATTTGGGGAGTGAACCAACCGAAGCAAGACCTTTCTCTCTGTCTCTCTTTCACACTGTCTATAACTCTACCTGTCAAATAAATAAATAAAATCCTTAAAAAAAAGAAATGGAGGGAACCTGCTTGACAAAAATTACTGACTACTACATTAAATACACACAAACACACACACACTTTAGACTTCTACAAAAAAAGCTTCATGTTTGGTTTTACTTCTATCTCTTTTTATATTGAGAGAATCCAAAATATTAATTACCACTAGACCAGAAGTAACTGAAATCTACATTCTGAAAAAATACTAATGCCTAAACGATGTTGACATCACCGTGGTATTCATTTCTCACACAATATTAAGCTAGTACCGTGAGCTTATACTGATTTTTATGTACCTAAGCCAACACATTAAAATGAGCGTGAACGCGTATTATGTCAACAGTATCTCTACCTTAATGTGGTTTCCAAATCCTTTTCAGTATGCAAGCTCTTTTAAACGTCACATTAAAAACAATACCTGGGGGCTGGTGCTGTGGTACAGTGGGTTAACGCCCTGGCCTAAAGCGCTGGCATCTCATACGGGCGCTGGTTCGAGACCCGCTGCTCCACTTCCGATCCAGCTATCTGCTATGGCCTGGGAAAGCAGTAGAAGATGGCCCAAGTCCTTGGGCCCCTGCACCCGTGTGGGAGACCCAGAAGAAACTCCTGGCTCCTGGCTTCAGATCAGTGCAGTTCCGGCTGTTGCGGCCAACTGGGGAGTAAACCATGATGGAAGAAGACCTCTCTCTCTCTCTCTCTATTTCTCTCACTCCTCTCTCTCTCTCTCTCTCTCTCTCTCTATCTCCCTCTCCTCTCTCTGTGTAACTCTGACTTTCAAATAAATAAATGAATATTAAAAAAAAAAAAAAAACAATACCTGAAGTAGATTAAAAAGACGCTACCTGATTTTGAAGTGAGGGCATATACAGAAGCCACTGCTGGTCTCCTCTGCCTCTCTCCTTCCTCAGCAGAAGAATAGACTACATTTCCCAGGAGGCTAAATTCTGACAGTAACTTCCAGGAACCATACCCCATCTTTTTCCTGTAGCTTGGAACAGGGGCATGGCGAGCTATCTGAGATCACACAGCAGGTAGAAATGCAAAACCACAATGCAAGAGCCGGTGTCTCTGATGACAATGGAGTTGCTTCTTTATCGGGGGGTATTATGAGATGAGTATCCAAAGCTAATCCTAATACAGGGCACATCTATCAAATGCAGATACCACCATTTACCTGCAAAGTGCGTAACTGAGTGTCTCAGTGGAGAAGATACTGACTTTTGAAGAAATTGTTTATTGTACAGCAATGTCTTGTGCACCACAGGACAGTCACTGTAACTGTTCCAGCAATGCACATCCCCCAGAAGATCCAAAAATGCCCTGCCCCCAGGAGAGAACCAGTGGAACAACAGATGCTTGATAAACAGACTGAAAGTAATGCCATCTAGTGTTTGGTAATTCTTTAAAGGTGAAACGGTCCTCGACTCTGACAACTACACACTGAACGACGTAACTTACCTCGCTTTTAAACCGGTCTCTCTCAATACTGCACTTGTCCAGCTGTCTAAATACATCATCAAGTTGCACAGCCATCTCGTCCATTTCACTTTTATTCTCACTACTCGAACAGTGACTGCATTCAGCCTTGACATGTTGCAGAACACTACACTGCTTTTTCAGCCTTTCTATTTCTTCCAAGGCTTGCTGATAGTGAGACATCACGTCGTCTGGGCTTTCGGATTTGCCATTAATACTTTCAAGTAAAAATACAGCGTCTGTTTCAGTAGACTGATGGCAAGTTTCCTTCTTCACATATTTGTCATTCATTTCTAGGATCTTCTCTTGCAACACTTTGATCTGGTCAGTGAACATCTGACACTGTCTTTTATAATTTTCCTTCTCTTGGGTGACAAGAAGCAGCTCGTTTCTCAGTTCATGCAACTGGCAGCCAGCATCCTCTGCCGATGTAGCCAAAGCTTCCTGGGTCTCCTGTGCCTTAGCTTCGGCTTCTACACAGGAGGGGGCTACTGTCGTGTCATTTCTGACCCCTATCTCGTGTTCAACACTCTCCTCCTTCTTGACAACTAAACTTGGGACTTCGGTCTGGGTGGCTGCAGTAGTTCCCTGGTCGCATCTGGACGACGAGCTGCTGGTTGAACTGGTCGGCCCACAAAGCTCAGCACCACACACGAGCTCAACGTCCATCAGACTCTGCTCAGTGTGGCTCTGTTCTGACTTCACTTCGACATCATGGTCTACTGCGGGCTTGGGAGTGCTGTTTTCTTCTAAGATGATGACATCTTCATCATCATCATCAGCCTTAGGAGCTGAATTCTCAAATGCTTGATTACTCAATCTTCGATTCTTAACATTCAAAATTGAGGAGCGAATAGGAAGTCTCCGTTTCAAGCTGGAAAAAAATTGCATTTGAAATGTAAGCATATAAAAAGATGGACAAAACAGATGGCCTTGAAGTAATCAATCAAAATAAATGCATGATCATGACAGTTTTACAACTATCTTGAATTTCTAAGAAACATCCATGCCTTTTTATTTTAAGAGTACATTGTGGGGCCGGCGCTGTGGCATAGCACGTAAAGCCGCTGCCTGCAGTGCCAGCATCCCACATGGGCACTGGTTTGAGAACCAGCTGCTCCACTTCGGATCCAGCTCTGTGCTATGGCCAGGGAAAGCAGGGGAAAGCAGCAGAAGATGGCCAAAGATGTTGGACCCCTGTACCCACGTGGGAGACCCAGAAAAAGCTCCTGGCTCTTGGCTTCAGATAGGCTCAGCTCCAGCTGTTACAGCCACCTGGGGAGTGAACCAGCAGATTCAAGATATTTCTCTCTGCCTCTCTATAACTTTGCTTTTCAAATAAATAAATTAAAAAAAAAAAAAGAGTACATTGTACAATACAGACCACTAATTTAATTTTGAAAGTCAGTTACAGACAGACGTAGGGATAGAGACAGAGATCTTCCGGGGCTGGCGCTGTGACTCAGCGGGTTAACGTCCTGGCCCGAAGCACCGGCATCCCATATGGGCGCCGGTTTGAGACCCAGCTGCTCCACTTCTGATCCAGCTCTCTGCTATGGCCTGGGAAAGCAGCAGAACATGGCCCAAGTCCTTGGGCCCCTGCACCCACGTGGGAGACCCGGAAGAAGCTCCTAGCTCCTGGCTTCGGATCGGCACAGCTCCAGCCATTGCAGCCAATGGGAGAGTGAACTATCTTCCATTAAGACCTTCCATTAAGACCTCCCCCCCGCCAACACTCTCTGCCTCCCCTCTCTCTGTGTAACTCTGACTTTCAAATAAATAAATAAATCTAGGGGGGAAAAAAGAGAGAGAGAGAGAGAGAGAGAGAGAGAGAGATCTTCCATCCCCTGGTTTACTCCCCAGATGGCCAAAATGGCCAGTGTTGAGCCAGGAAGAAGCCAGGAGCCTCATCCTGGTCTCCCACATGCACGTGGGCCACCTTCCACTGCTCTTCCCAGACCATTAGCAGGGAGTGGGTCTGAAGTGGAGCAGCTGGGACATGAAACAGCATCCATATGGGATATGCCAGCATTGAAGGAAGTGTCATTACCCCATTTGCCACAGGACCAGCCCCTACTGTCTTTTACAATGAGGAAACACTCAACTACTGGATTTCTGTGAATTACTAGACCTGCATACTGGGTCCTGCCAATCATCACTTCATCTGATATCCTCCCAGCATTTCCATGTACACGTGCCCTAAAGAGAAGCCTCTTCCTCACACTCCTGATCAGGCTCAAGGAATGGCACTGCGATGTTCCGCTGCCTATCCTAATTCTGACCAATGCTGAGTGAGCAAGAGGAAGCCATAAAGCAAACGAGCACCCCCATCCTTTCACACTAAACAATGTTCTCTGAATTTAAAAAATCACCTCATTTCCTCACCCATGTGGCTTCCTGTAACATGTTCACCAATGGATTTGGAGAGACATTTCTATGTTTGCTATTTGGGACGTATTATGTTAGAGTTGGCAGAGCGCTGGAAGACTTCCCTCTTCTTGGGCTTACCATCATATATGGACCGGACACAGGGGACACAACAAATATAAACATCATTCCATGTGTACCTTCTGACTCCTGCACTTTTGCAGGCAATCTGTGGTCTTTCTCTCTGAAAGAAGAGAATCGTTTCCCCTTGTGTCCCATCATTATGATGTGCCTGGAAGTGGATCTGGGCCAAGACAGTGTGCTCTGTATTTAGTAGAAATGAAGTTTTTCATGTGTTCTACCCTCCCCCCACCGCCACCCCGTCTGAGTTCCCATTCTCCAACTCCCTTACTGTTGGTCTCCTGTTCAGATACTGTCTCTTCTCCTTTCTCCAACTGTCTGTCCTTTTGTTCTAAGAGACTTACTTATTGTACACCTGCCACACCACATCTCCAATAAAGTTCACACTTTTTTCTTTTACTTCCTTTGTTGTGCCACAACATTTTGCAAGGTCTCTTCCCTCGGGACCCCAGTGAGAGAGGGCAGAGCAGAGGGTGGATTTCTCACCACTGAGTATTCAAACAGTCTCATACTCTTTCTGATTTCAAAACAACAGCTCCTATCTACCTTCAGCAGCAAAAACAGCTTTCCAGGAAATGAATTTACCCTCTTCTGACAGAGAAAGAGAAGCGCCAGGTGGCAGAGTTTGCAGGTCTCAGGAAAACACCTAGGGGAACTATTGCTCTTCCTTTAGCTTCCTACTCACACTCTGCCCTCGCACCCTCAGCAGGACCCAACGCAGCCAAGTGAAGACTCTCAGGATCTGGGGAGTTCACAGTTTGTGTCTCCTCAGGTTTCCACCCTCCTCCAGCAGGCTTAGGTTTCAGCTCTCCTGGGCTGCTGGATCAGTACCTCCTGTTAATCTTCTCTGTCCCATTAAATTGGTCATTGCCCTATCACCTCTCTTACCAGGCTACTTTCAATTTATTGTAGCACTTTTACCATAGATTTAGGCTGACAGAAATTCTCTTCCTCTATTTTGACATCAGGTAATTTTTTAAAGATTTATTTGTTTATTTGAAAGGCAAAGTGAAAGAGACAGCAAGACATCTCCCATCTACTGGTTCACTCTCCAAATGCCCACAACAGCCGGGGCTGGCTAGGCTGAAGCCAGTAGCCAGAAACTCCATTTAGGTCTCCCACAAGGATGGCAGGAACCCAGGTACTTGCGCCATCACCTGGTGGCTCCCAGGCAAATTAGCAGGAAGCTAGATAGGAAGCATGGAGCAGTTGAGATTCACACCAGGCACTCAGACACGGGATGCAGGCATCCCAAGTAACTCTCACTACACCACAACATTCACCCTCAAATGTTCAAGTCTAAATCTTCTGTCAGTAAATTACACAACTCCCTTTATAAAGAAAAGTCATAATATTAAGTAAACTAAAAAAATGTCATGTAAATTCTTAGTTAAGTAGCAATTCACATCCCTAGAACAGGCTATTTTAGAAACAATTTGATTTCATCTAAATATGCATTAAGGGAGTTAGTTATTTCCATTCTTCCATGAGGTCAAAAGTCTCTCTGATAACTTAGTAAGGGCAATAAAACCTCTGAGAAATTCTATCTCAGGGACCTTTCAATGTTTTCTTTTCGATAACAAACCACTAGGTGTAGGAGCCTGGTGTGCTGGTTCCCAGAGAGCTTCCCAATTTTGTTCTCTCTCACTTGTGTCCATTCTACTAACTTTGTATGGGCCACCCAGGCCAGATGCAACTTCCAGAACTAAACTAAAGACCACTCATCTGGGGCCAGTGTTGCAGCACAGCAGGTTAAGCTGCCACCTGTGACACTGGCATCCTATATGGGTACCATTTGGGGAATGAAACAGCAAATGGAAGCTTTCTCTCTCTCTCTCTAACTCTACTTTCAAATCAAATATATCAATAAACAAAAAGACCACTCCTCCAGAAGCTACTCTTGACCATTCTAGTCAAGATGGCTACCTGTTCAATTAACGCACCACTTGGAACTTCCTTTCTCCCTTCCTGCTCATGGACTCATCCAAATGTAATAAATAGCTCCAGCAAGCCTGACCCGGTTACGCTAAGAACTCCTAGGTCACATCTGACATTACAGTGTTGTGTTATTCAATGTTTTATAGCTTCCTTTACTTAGATATGATCATCTTAAAATCAAAAATTTTCAAACTACATCTTAAGTTCAAAGAGATGACAATTTGATCAAACTTCACAATGAATTTAATTTTTCCTTAATTTAAATAGATGACAGAATGTGGTGGGAAAAGTTAAGACAATAAAAGTAAACTAGGCCGGCGCCGCGGCTCACTAGGCTAATCCTCCACCTAGAGGCGCCGGCACACCAGGTTCTAGTCCCGGTCAGGGCGCCGGATTCTTTTTTTTTTTTTTTAAGATTTATTCCTTTTTTTGAAAGTCAGAGTTACATGGGGGGGGGGGGGGGGGGCTTTTCTCCCCTGGGTCCTTCCCCCAAAGGGTGCCATGGGCAAAACCCAAAGCCCGGGGTTTCCCCCCGGTCTCCCCCCCAGAAGGCGGGGCCCCAAAAATTGGGGCATCCCCCCTGCTTTCCCAGGCCAAAGCAGAGGTGGATCAGAAGTGGAGCAGCCAGGACTCGAACCAGCACCCATATGGGATGACAGCACTGCAAGTGGCGGCCTTACCTGCTACACCACAGTGCTGGCCCCCAAAGGGCGCCGGATTCTGTCCCGGTTGCACCTCTTCCAGGCCAGCTCTCTGCTGTGGCCAGGGAGTGCAGTGGAAGATGGCCCAAGTGCTTGGGCCCTGCACCCCATGGGAGACCAGGATAAGCACCTGGCTCCTGCCATTGGATCAGCACGGTGTGCCGGTCGCAGCGCGCTGGCCGCGGTGGCCATTGGAGGGTGAACCAACGGCAAAGGAAGACCTTTCTCTCTGTCTCTCTCACTGTCCACTCTGCCTGTCAAAAAATAAAAAAACAAAAAAGCAAACTAATTTCCTATGAAGACTTCTTATAGTTATATCAGTTACAATTTCTGAGAACTTCCTTATGGCCATGGAAGTATCAAGGAAAGGTGGTATTTAAAATTGCCCATATGGGAAAAACTGGAAGCATTCCCACTAAGATCTAGACCAGACAAGGATGCCTACCTTCACCACTGCTGTTCAATACAGTCCTGGAAGTTTTAGCCAAGGCCACTAGGCAAGAAAAAGAAATCAAAGGGATACAAATTGGAAAAGACAAAGTCATCTGCAGATGACATGATTCTATATATAGGGGAAGCAAAAGACTCTACTAAGAGACTGTTGGATCTCATAAAAGAGTTTGATAAAGTGGCAGGATATAAAAGTAATACACAAAAATCAATAGCCTTTGTACACACAGACAATATCATGGCTGAGAAAAAACTCCTAAGATCAATCCCATTCACAACAGCTACAAAAAATACCTAAGAATAAATTTAACCAAGGAGGGCACAGACCTCTATAGTGAAAATTACAAACATTAAAGAAAGAAATAGAAGAAGACACAAAAAAATGGAAAAATCTTCCATGTTCATGAACTGGAATAATTAATATCAACAAAATTTCCATACTACCAAAAGCAATTTACAGATTCAATGTGATCCCAATCAAAATAATGACATTCTTTTCAGATCTAAAAAAAAATGATGCTAAAATTCATATGGAAACACAAGAGATCCCAAACATGTAAAGCAAACTGATATAACAAAATACAAAGCTGGAGGCATCACAATACCTGATTTCAAGACATACTAACAGGCAGTTATCATCAAAACAGCCTGGTACCGGCAAAATAATAGACATATAGACCAATGGAACAGAACAGAAATTCCAGAAATCAACCCTTGCATCTACAACCAACTAATCTTTGACAAGAGAGCTAAAATCAATCCCCAGAGCAAGGACAGTCTCTTCAACAAATGGCGCTGGGAATCCTGGATCTCCACATGCAGAAGTGTGAAGCAAGACTCCTACCTTACACCTTACACAAAAATCTACTCGAAATGGATCAAGGACCTAAAGTTATGACCTAATACTGCCAAATTACTGGAGAACATTGGGGAAACTGCAAGACATTGGCATAGGCAAAGACTTTTTGGAAAAGACCCCAGAAGCACAGGCAATCAAAGCCAAAATTGACAAACAAGATCACATCAAGCTGAGAAGTTTCTGAGCTACAAAAGTTAAACACTCAGCAAAGTAAAGTGGCAACTGACAGAATGGAAGAAATTATTTGGAAACTATGCAACTGATAAAGGATTAATATCTAGAATCTATAGGGGCTGGTGCCGTGGCTCATTTGTTTGATCCTGCGCCGGCATCCCATATGGGCACCGGGTTCTAGTCCCAGTTGCTCCTCTTCCAGTCCATCTCTCTGCTGTGGCCCAGGAGGGCAGTGGAGGATGGTCCAAGTGCTTGGGGCCCTGCACCCACATGGGAGACCAGGAGGAAGCACCTGGCTCCTGGCTTCAGATCAGCACAGCGCCAGCCATAGCAGCCATTTGGGGAGTGAACCAACGGAAGGAAGACCTTTCTCCCTGTCTCTCTCTATATAACTCTACCTGTCAAATAAAAAAAAAAAATCCAGAATCTATAAAGAGCTCAAGAAACTCAGCAACAACAAAACAAATAATCCAGTTAAGAAATGGGCAACAGACTAGAACAGTCATTTTTCTTTTTTTTTTTTTAAGGGAAAGTGTTTATTGGGGGAAACCTGACAGACCAGAGAGAAGGGGTGAACAAGGAAAAAGAGAGAAAGAAGGAGAGCATAAAAGAGAGATCAAGAGACAAACAGAGAGAGAGAGAGAGATCAGGAGACAGAGATAAAGAGAGAGCCATGAATTCAGGAATAGGTCCTTTTAAAACTTTGCGGGGGGGGGAGGGAGGGGGCGCCAGGGAAGTAGGAGCAGCGATTCCCATTAAGATGGGGGTGGGGTTGACACCAGTGGTTGGGCCACGTGGCCAGCTAGCTTCCAGCAATGGCGGTGGGGGCTAGAGCCTAGGACGGTGTCAGGGTATAGATCATGCCATAGATAAGTGCGCCATTTTACTAACATTCCTCCCTTTTGTTTTTTATAAAGCAGGAGTTGTATGGGATTACATTAGTCCCAAAAGTCCAAGAGGGATAGAGGGACGATGATCTGTCTTTAGAGCTACTTCCTGCTGACATGGATGACAAGGTACTCTGGTAGCATGGGTCGATGTCTCAAGCCGCTGTCTCCTGGGCGGGGAACTGAGTATATCCCTGTAGCAACATTTGATTGACCACTTGGTTGCTGAAGGCCTAGGTTTAGAACAATCATTTTTCAAAAGAGGATTCAAATCACCAACAGACACATGAAAAAATGTTCAGGATCACTAGCCATCAGGGAAATGCGTATCAAAACCACAATGAGGTTTCACTTCACCCAAATCGAAATGGTTCTCACAGAGAAATCAACAAACAATAAGTGCTGGCAAGGATGTGGGGAAAAGAGTCCCCTAATCCAATGCTGGTGGGAATGTAAACTGGTGCAGCCATTGTGGAAGACAGTGTGGAGATACCGCAGAAATCTGAATATGGACCTACCATGTGACCCAGCAATCCCACTCCTGGGAATTTGTCAAAACAAGATGAAGTCAGCATATGAAAGAATGATCTACAATCCCATGCTTCCTGCCACTCAGTTCACAAGAGCCAAGATAGGAAATCAATCCAGATGTCCATGAACTGGTGACTGGATAAAGAATTTACGTTTAGTATACACTATGGAATATGGCTCAGCAGTTAAAAAAAAAGAAAAAAGAAACCCTGTCTTTTGCAACAAAATGGCTGCAACTGGAAATCATTATATTTAGTGAAATGAGCCAGTCCCAAAAAGACAAATACCGCATGTTCTCTCTGATCTGTTGTAACTAACAGAATATGAAAAAGGTAATGGATAAGAGTGACTTTGACATTTTGAGATCTGATGATTGTTTACAGCCCCTGTCTCAACTGCCGAGGAACAGTGCTTTTTCTCTTCATACTCTCTGTTGAACTCTACTTAGTGTAAGGTTATTCTTATGGGTATAAAGTAAACTGAAAATGGATCTTTGCAAAAACAGGAGTGGAAATAGGAGAGGGAGAAGAAAGAAGGGTGGGAGCAAGGGTGGTAGGGAGGGTAGGGTAGGAAGTGTCACTATGGTAGGAAGTATCACTGTTCCTGAATCTGTATAAATGAAATACATGAAATGTGTATACCTTAAATAAAATAAAAAATAAAAGAAATAAAATTGCCCATATGGAAAAATATATCTGAGCCACTGACCTGTTGCTCTCAGGTTCAGACAGGGGTGAAACACGATGATTATTTATAAGCCTTGTTGTGTAAGAATTTGTCGCTTCTGAAAGATGCCCCCTTGGAACACTTTCCTTTGCAGGAGAAAAGCTTCGACTTGAAATTGGTGCTGTCCGAAACAACAGTTCAGTATTGATCTGCTGTGAGTGGGGATGGGAGGAAGAAAACATTTTAAAGGAATTATTTTATTGTGACATGCGCAAAAGCACAAGGTATAATCTCCCCTTCCCTTTTCCCAGAGGCATCAAGAACTCTCCTAAACATGTCGATTCTTTGTGTTATACCAGGGATTCAATCAGAGCAAGAGCCAAACCCAGCCTGCAAGTGAGCTACATTAGTTTTACATTTTAAACAGCATGAACAAAATAAAAGTAAAGAATATGCAGGGGCAGGTGCTGTGCTGTGGCCAGTTAAACTGCTGCTTGTAGTACTGGCATCCCATACAGGAGCCGGTTCGAGTCTCAATGCTCCACTTCTGGATCGGAAGTGGGGCAGCTGGTGCCCTTATGGGATGCCGGCACTGCAGGCATTGGCTTAACCCACTAAGCCAGCGCTCTGGCATTGCAGGTAAAGCCATCACCTGTAGTGCCAGCATCCCATATGGGTGCTGCTTTGAGACCCAGCTGCCCACTTCTATTCCAGCTCATGCTATGGCCTGGGAAGCAGTAGAAGATGGCCCAAGTGCTCAGGCCCCTGCAACTGTGTGGGAGACCTGCAAGAAGCTCTTGGCTATTGGCTTCAGATCAGTGCAGCTCTGGCCTTTGCGGCCATCTGGGGGAGTGGATCAGCAGATGGAAGATCTCTCTCTCCTCTCTCTTTCTCTCTCTCTCTCTCTCTCTCTGAGATGCCAGCGCCACAGGCAGAGGATTAACCTACTGCACCACAGCGCCAGCCCCAGCCAAAGCTTTTGACCACCACTGGGTACTAAGAAATGGGAAAGTGAGGCGAGGAGTCCAAGGGAAAGAAAAACTGTGGCTGGCATCCATGTTATTCCATAAACATGGCACCAACATGTTCTTCTGACTTCTTCCTTAACTGCCTAACTAATAGACTCTTAAAAGACCGTGTGCCGGCCGGCACCGCAGCTCACTAGGCTAATCCTCCACCTTGCGGCACTGGCACACCGGGTTCTAGTCCCGGTCAGGGCACTGGATTCTGTCCCGGTTGCCCCTCTTCCAGGCCAGCTCTCTGCTGTGGCCAGGGAGTGCAGTGGAGGATGGCCCAAATGCTTGGGCCCTGCACCCCATGGGAGACCAGGATAAGTACCTGGCTCCTGTCATCGGATCAGCGCGGTGTGCCGGCTGCAGCGGCCATTGGAGGGTGAACCAACGGCAAAGGAAGACCTTTCTCTCTGTCTCTCTCACTGTCCACTCTGCCTGTCAAAAAATAAAAATAAAGAAATAAATAAATAAATAAAAAAGACCGTGTGCCTCTCCTCAGAAGCTGTTCAACTAAACGGCACAACTGCACAGTCGAATGCGGCTGCTGGATTCAGGATATTGGGACTGGAAAGGAGAGCAGGGAAAGAGGAGAACGTGAGCTTGAGCTGCAGTACGTAAGTCCTAGCTCTACAACTCAGCTTTGTCTAAAGTGAGAACCACCGAATGGAAAACACATCTACAAACTGTAAGGCTTCATTACCCGAGAGATCACTTCCGGTTGTCTGATTCTGAATTTTTCTTTGTTGCTTTAAAAGAAAGATAAAACACAAACATATTTACAACTTATCTCATTATTATTTCTCAAACCCATTTTCCAATGACATCCCTGCCATCTCACTACCACATTACTTAGACATTCTTACTGAAGTATGCTTAAATTTCATTAGAATTGGTGGCCAGCTCCTCTACAAGGGAATAGTTAGCCACCTTTTATTTCAATTGACATCCTCAGACTGACCTAAAGCTTTCCATCCCCAAAGCCATGGATCACAGACATCTGAACTGGAATGTCACATGGGTTTCTGTACTTCTAATACTGCTGCTGGATTTAATCGAGGAACAGTGCCCTGCCAATAAAGCCACAGAAATGTCCTTCATGAGCATGGCCTTCCCATACCATGTCAGCACGTTCTCCCAGCTGACTACCATTACCCAGCCCATCTTCCCAATGTTTCCACTCTTCCCATTCATATATTCGGTTCAGTGAAGCGGACGGAAGGCACTGTTTTCTGTACATCCTATCCTGCTTATCCTTCCGGGGCTGTGACAGAAGGAGCATCTTCATGAAGCTCCTGGTCCGTTTGCCCCGTTCAGAAGCACTCTCTCGCTAGGAGCCTCCTGACGTTACTTGATGTATCTTCTATGTGTTCATCTACATCGAACTGTTAGCACACTCATCACGCCTTCTCTGCGAAGACCATCAGCTTGCAAGGGGACTATTCACTTAGGATTCACTCCCCTGGGCATGGCTCAACAGAAACCTGCTCTTACGCAGAGTACCGCACAGAGAGGTCAGCACAGCAGTAAACAGCAGCTGTCCACAGTACAAACTTGATATTCTGCACTCCACAGTGTCACTCTAGCTTTGTCTTGGGAGAGACATTAACTAGGGCTGTAGACTTGTCACTTTTCAGGACTTGGGCATTCTTCACCATCACACATGAACATGATACTCACTTCTTTTTGTAGGTTTTTTCGTAAGTGGGATGTACCAAATCCTCATCTTCAGGTTCTTCTGGAACGTCACAATTTCTAGTCAGAAAAATCACATGGCAATAACACGTCACCAGCGCCTATTCAAATGTCTTAAATAGTACATTCTGCCTTTCCAAAAAGGGTACTACCAACTATATGGTACCTGAACTGTGGGTCAGGGTTATTGGAGCAATACCATTTTTCTGGAAGTTGATCAATCCCATCTGGTAATTTTCGCCACTTTAGACAGGAATCACATTGAACCCATGTCTGATCAGGACTTTTCCTAACCAAAAAAAAAAAAAAAAATTCAAGCATGAAAATTTGGATTCTTAAGTATTTCATTAAATTTTCCATATTGTTTCTACCAAAAAATGCCTGATATTTAACTGATTTCACGAAAATTCTATGACATAACTATGTTTGTTGTAAAGTAATTCATAATTTTAAAAATAACTATTTTGGGAACCAGCACTGTGGCACAGTGGGTAAAGCCTGCCTGAAGTGCCAGCATCCCATTTGGGCACTGGTTCAAGTCCTGGCTTCTCCACTTTCCATCCAACTCTCTGCTATGGCCTGGGAAAGCAGTGGAGGACGGCCCAAGACCTTGAGCCCCTGAACCAGCATGGGAGACTCAGAGGAAGCTCCTGGCTCCTGACTACAGATGGGCACAGCTCTGGACATTGAGGCCACCTGGGTAGTAAACCAGCAGATGGAAGGCCCCCCTCTCTCTCTCTCTCTCTCTGCCTCTCCATAACTTTGCCTTTCAAATAAATAAAAATAAATCTAAAAAAAAAAAAAAAAAAAACTTTGGATATCTTCTAGAGATTAAAGTTTGTAGGCCAATTTGAGCAAAGTGATTTAAATATCTCACTTAACAGCATACTGTTAAATTTTATTTATGATAATAAAAAGTTAAAAATGTTTCCAAATGCATTGGCTTGAAATTTATATTAAGTTACCAACTGCAATGTCAAATGTACAATACACTTTATTATAGCACATAACAACCCCTCAGAACAAGTTGAAAACATTACACTTAAGAAATTAAAAAAATTAAAATAAATAAAAATTTTTAAAAAGAACTTAATTATATTAGTTTTAGATTTGATTATTTTACCTTATTCTTGCTCTGTTTAAATGTATTTTCACTTATTTGAAAGGCAGAAACAGAAACAAAAATCCTTCATCCACTGCTTCACTCCCCTAATTCCTCCAACAGCAGGGCTAGGCCTGGCCAGGGCAAGAATCTGTGACGTCACACCTGGTGTCCAACATGGGTTGCAAGGACTCGAGTACTTGAGCCATCACCTACTACTTCCTAAGGTACACATCAGCTGGAATGGAAAAGCTGGAATGGAAGCTGGAGTGCACAGCTGAGCCAAACTCGAACTCGGGTACTCCAATATGGGACGTGGATGTCAAAGAAGCGGCTTACTCAACACCTACCCCAATACCTTTTAAATCTGGTTATAAAAAATTTAAAAATCTGGTTTTACACACTTACTTACATTTATGTAAAACTTCAAAACAATTCTGAAATTGATAAAGTCAACCCCTTATTTCAGATTATGACAACTAATTTTTTAAATCCTAGCAGAAACTTACAGCTTTATATAGGGATACTTGTAAAAACACAAACACACAGTAAGAAGTGGGCAGCATAGTCACTGATTGGGACTCGACATACCATACTAGATTGCAAAAGATGGAGTCCTGCTGGGTCTCTCCCCAAATGGACACAATGGCCAGAGCTGTGCCAACCTCCACTGCTTTCCCACCATCTCCCCTTCCTTTTTTTTTTTTTTTTAATATTTATTTATTTATTTATTTATTTACTTGAAAGTCAGAGCTACACAGAGAGAGGAGAGGGAGAGGGAGAGGGAGAGGGAGAGGGAGAGGGAGAGGGAGAGGGAGAGGGGGAGGGGGAGAGAGAGAGAGAGAGAGAGAGAGAGAGAGAGAGAGAGAGAGAGAGGTCTTCCATCCACTGGTTCACTCCCCAATTGGCTGCAACACCTGGAGCTATGCGGATCCCGAGCCAGGAGCCAAGGTCTTCTTCCATGTCTCCCACATGGGTGCAGGGCCATCTTCTACTGCTTTCCCAGGCCACAGCAGAGAGCTGAATCAGTAGAGGAGCAGCCGGGACTCGAATTGATACCCATATGGGATGCTGGCTCTGCAGGTGGCGGCTTTACCTGCTATGCCACAGCGCTGGCCCCCATCTCCACCTCTAATCTAGCTTCCTTCTAATACACATCCCAGGATGCATCAAGTGTTTGAGCCTCTGCCACCCATGTGGGAGCCTAGACGGAGTTCTTGGCTCCTGGTTTCATCCTGGTGCAGTCCCGGCTATTGTAGGCATTTGAAGCGTGAACCAGTGGACGGAAGATTTCTCTCTCTTTCTGTCACCCTACGTTAAAAATAAACTAGCTTAAAACAAAAGAATGGATAGGATAAGCACTGTGTGTGTGACAGTAGTTAAGGTGCAGACATCCCATATCCAAGTGTTGGTTCACAAGTTAGCTGCTCTGTTTCCACTGAGTTCCCTGTTAATCCATCTGGGAAAGTAGTGGATGATGGCCCAAGTACTTGGATTCCTGTCATCAACATGGGAGACCCAGATGGAATTTCTGCCACGTAGCTTTAGCGTGACACAGTTCCAGCTGTTGTGGACATGTGGGGAGCACACCAGCAGACGGAAGATCTCTTTCTCTATCATTTTGCCTTTCAAATAAATAAATCTTTTTTAAAAAATGCAGTGAAACATTTATGCACTGAACTTCCTCCTTTCTTGTTTTTCATTATCTGTCTTGGATACTTTCCGTATAAGTACACATGGATTTGCTCACTCATTCATTTACAGGATGTCAGTGTACTACATGTGTCACTAAGTATTTGCCCAGCATCAGACTGCTTAATTCTCACAAGTCTAGGTGTTAAGTGTCTCTAATATTCCAACTTTATCATGAGAAAATGGAAGCTTACAGGAAGCCAAGTAGAAGGCTCAATGTCATAGCTACTTAATCAGCAGAGCAAGAATTCAAACTGAAGTTTGGCTTTAGACTGTGATTCTAATAATTACACTCAGTGTTTTTCAAATTATGAGACATAATCCATTAGTGGGCTGTAATATTAACTTTATGGGTCAAGATTAGCGGTTTTCAAATGAAAGGGTATCAACATGTATCAGACAAATGGGTAAATACTGTTTCATGAATGTGTACAGGTACTCATGTGTATTTCCATTCATCTGTCTTGTGCTGTGCTGACTAATGTTGCAGAATGTCTTACTGTGAAAAGTTAGAATTCTAAGTTTGTTCAATATTGTACAAATGCCACATCTTGGTATCAGTGAGTTGGGTTTTTTTTTTTAATACACTTACTGTATATCTTCAACTGGCAAATTTAGAGGATACTCTGCATTTTTCTTCACTTTCATTTCATTCCAGTAATCATTCAGTTTTTCTCCCAGTGCTGCTATTGTAAGCCTTAAAGAAGCAAATTATAAAATCAATTCAAGTATGATACAAAGTAAAATCCATTCAAACAAAAGGGAAAACATAAACAATCTAGAAATAACCACGTGGACACTGTAATGAAAAGAATCATCAGCTTGTGAACAGATTATTTCAAGGAATGCCAATTATCTACAAGGACCGTTCTGTGCTGGGTGGTGTTAAGAAACCACGTTATAGAGCAATTACAGGGAGAACCAGCAGCCTTCTACATTTCAACACCAAAACCAATAAGCTTACAACCTTCAAATCAAATTACAGCTCAAACTTCTGGGGTATAGAAGTAAACACAGTATCAACAGGTATGCTTCAAACAGATACACTGTCCCACAATTAAGACATTGACCACTTCTTTTTCTTTTTTTTTTTGGACAGGCAGAGTGACAAAAATAAAATTAAAAAAACTTCTATTTTTTAAATTTTTTTGACAGGCAGAGTGGACAGTGAGAGAGACAGAGAGAAAGGTCTTCCTTTTGCCATTGGTTCACCCTCCAATGGCCGCCGCGGCCAGCACGCTGCAGCCGGTGCATCACACTGATCCGAAGCCAGGAGCCAGGTGCTTCTCCTGGTCTCCCATGGGGTGCAGGGCCCAAGCACTTGGGCCATCCTCCACTGCACTCTCTGGCCACAGCAGAGAGCTGGCCTGGAAGAGGGGCAACCAGGACAGAATCCGGCGCCCTGACCGGGACTAGAACCCGGTGTACTGGCGCTGCAGGCAGAGGATTAGCCCATTGAGCCACGGCGCCAGCTGACAGAAATTTTCTATCTGCTAGATCACTCCTTAAATGGCCCAAAAAACTAGGACTGGGTCAGGCCAAAGTCAAAGGCCCAGAGCTTCATGTTTGTTTCTCATGTGGGTGCTCAGGTCCAAGCAACTGGGCCATTATCTGCTGCCATCCCAAGGTGCCACAGAAGGAAGCTAGATCAGAAGCGGAGCAGCAGAGACTCAGACCAGCACTTACATGTGATGCTAGTGTAGCTAACCCATGCACCACAATGCCAGCCAAGACTTCCACTCTCTGGGGTGAGCATTTGGTTCAGTGGTTAGGATGTCACTTGGGACAACGGCATCCCATATTGGAACGCCTAGGTTCAAGCTCTGGCTCTGCTTCCAATCTGGCTTCCTGCTAATGCATATCCGAGGAGGCTCAAGTACTGGGGCCTCTGCCATCACGTAGAAGACCTACATTGCATTCTGGGCCACTGGCTTTGGCCTGGCCCAGCCGGGATGTATGTATCTGGAGAGTGAACCAGCAGATGGAAGCTCTCTCTGTCTTTCAAGTGAAGTAAAAATGAAACCATGTGCATAGAATACAAGATTCAGGCAGTATAACCTCTGCATTTAAAATAAAGCTTTCAAAAAGCAAGATTTTCACATTTTATACTCTGGCAGATTACTATTAGACATGACTATTGTAATTTATCTCTACTTTTCCTACTGTATACTTTTTATTTTTAAATTGTTATTTGGGAGGTATAAAGACACAGAGCAACAGCCACAATGGGGGAGGGAACACACTGATTAACTGATTGAGCCAACAGCCAGGGCTAGACTGAGGTCAAAGCCAGGAGCTGGGAACTCAAGCCAATTCAGTGGAGCCATCACCACTGCCACCCAGGGTCTGCATTGCATTTGCAAGAAACTGGAGCTAGAAGCCAGAATAGTATCAAATCAAGTACTCTGATATGTGACACAGGCATCTTAACCAGTGCCTTAACCTTGAGGTCAAACTCCTACCCTCCTCCTGCTTACTGTAGTTTTCTTCCCCAGGAATACCCACTATCATATCATATATAAATGTCCAAATGAGAACAAATCTTCCCTCCTAAATTTTCTTTCCCTTCATATCACTTTTTGCTTCACTGCATCTCTTTTCTCAAACCTCTGTCCTTAATGAAGGAGAACATACACACTGCTCTTGAGACCACGCCCGCAAGCAGGAACTGCAAGGTCAAGGGTGTGCACTGACGTTCAGCCTTACTCAACAATCTAATATAGTTCCCAAAAATGTGCAACAATTTCTGCACCAACCTGCGATGTGAAAGCGTGCCAACCGCATTATCTTGCCAACATTTGCCATGCCCTTTCCATGTGGATTTTTCCATTTTCGCCCATCATGATCAAAATTTTTACAGCCTGCCTTAAAAACTCACTTAGTTTTTCCTTTTCAGTTTTCATTTAGGATGAAAAGACATCTCAGGTTGATTTTTACCCCACAGGCAGGAATTTAGGTCCATTTTACTCACATATACTCAACTGATTTAGCATTTTTGAAAGGATGATCATTTTCATACTACTACTGTAACCTTTGAGATAATCAGGTAACTTTATGTATAAAAAATTAATGATATGGGGGCCAAGGTTGTGGCAAAGGGGTTAAGCCATTGCTTGTGATGCCACCATCCCATGAGGGCATCAGTTAATATCCTGGCTGCTTCACCTCTGAACTAGCTCCCTGCTAATGTGCTTGGGACAGCAGCCGAAGATGGCCCCAATACTTGGGCTCCCCCAAGAAATGTGGGAGACCTGGAAGAAATCCAGGATTTGGTTTGGCCCAGCCTTGGTGGGTTGCAGCCATCTGGGGATCGAACCAGCAGACAGGAAGAACTGTCTTTTGCTCTTTCTATAACTCCGCCTTTCAAACAAATAAAATAAATCTTAAAAAACAAATCGTATATATTAAAAGCATGAACTGGGGACAGCACTGTGGTTCAGCAAATTAAGCAGCAGCTTCCAATACACCAGCAACCCTTATTGGAGTGTGATTCAAGCCCCAGCTGTTCCATTATCTGATCCAGCTTGCTGCTAATGTACCTGGAAAAGCAGCAGAGGACGGGTCATCACTGGGCCTCAGCCACCCATGAAGTAGACTCAGATGAAATTCCTAGCTCCTGACTTCTATCTGGCCCAGTCCCAGCTAGTGTGGCCATTTGTAGAGTGAACCAGAGGATCTTTTTCTGTCCTCTCCCACCACCTAATCACTCTGCCTTTCAAATAAATAAAAATTTTTAAAGATTTATTTGAAACTCAGAGTAATGGAGAGACAGAGAGAGATCATCCATCCACTGGCTTGCTCCCCAAAAGACTGCAATAGCTGGAACTAAGCCAGGCTGAAGCCAAGAACCAGGAGCTTATTCCAGGTCTCCCATGTGGGTGCAGGAGCCAAAGCACTTGTACAACCTCCACTGCTTCCCCAGGCCATAGCAGAGAGCTGGATCGGAAGTGGGGCAGCCGGGACTTGAACTGGCGCCCATATGGGATGCCAGCACTGCGGGCATTGGCCTAACCCACTATGGCAGCGCTGTGGCATTACAGGTAAAGCCGTCACCTGCAGTGCCAGCATCCCATATGGATGCTGGTTCGAGTCCCGGCTGCTCCACTTCCGATCCAGCTCACTGCTATGGCCTGGGAAAGCAGTAGAAAATGGCCCAAGTCCCTCGGCTACTATACCCGCATGGGAGACCCAGAAGAAGCTCCAGGCTCCCGGCTTCAGACTGGCCCAGTTCCAGCCATTTGTGGCCACTTGGGGAGTTAATCAGCAGATGGGAGATCACTCTTTCTGTCCCTCTCTTTTCAATTGAAAAATAAATAAATAAATCTTAACCAAAAAAATGATGCTTGCTAATAACTTCTTGTAAATACTGTTTCAAGATTTTCATCTTTCTTTTTTTAGATCACAAACGGGTATGGAAATTGATCAAGTGCTTTTTTTCTGTATCAGTGAAGAAAACCACAAGAATTTTGTGTTTATTAGCATCAATGTGATGAACCACATTGATTTTTGAACACTAAAAACGCTTATGTTATCTTGAACTACAGCCTACTTGGCTCTAATGCTAGTTTCCTTTGTACGTGTCACTGGATATTTACTATTATTTTAATTGAGATTTTTATGAAAAATTGACAAAATTTTTTTCTTGTAATATACTTACTATTTGCAAGGTTATGTGGCCTCATAAGGCCTTTAAAAGAGTTTGTGGGGCCAGCGCTGTGATATAGCGGGTAAAGCTGGCATTGCTCAAATGGGCACAGGTTTGTATCCAGACTGCTCCACTTCCCATCATGCTCCCTGCTAATGGCCTGGGAAAAGGAGAAGATGGCCCAAACGTTTGGGCCCCTGCTACCCACAGAGACCCAAATGAAGCTCCTGGCTCCTGGCTCCAGCCTGGTCCAGCCCTGGCAGTTTAGACCATCTGGGGAGTGAACCAGCAGACTGAATATCAATGTCTCTCCCTCTCTAAAACTCTGACATTTAAATAATGAGTGCATGACGGGTTTACACAGAAAACAACTTTTAACCATCTTTTCCCCTTCCCAGAAGTGAATCTAGTTCATCAGAAGTAGTATATTTTACCATTTTTACTGATCAGGTTCTTCTGAGATTCACAAAAATGAAGCAAATTCCTGCTTTTTTTTTTTTTGGCTTTGCTAATCCATTTCCTACAAGTCTCAATCAATACCTGTACTCACTGGCACATACCTGTACTCATTGGTGTAATCGAAATCTTGTTTATTGTGAGTTGGCTTAAGGAAATTACACTCTATAATTCCAACTACTCCAACACCCATGTTGTTTGCCTGAAATTTAAAAATAAATAAATAAATCAGCATTTCAGCATAAGGCATGACACTCAAGGAAACAATTTTTTTTTTTTTTTTTGACAGAGTTACAGACAGTGTGAGAGAGAGAGAGAGACAGAGAGAAAGGTCTTCCTTCCATTGGTTCACCCCTCAAATGGCTGCTATGGCTGGAACTGCACTGATCCGAAGCCAGGAGCCAGGTGCACGGGCCCGGGCCCAAGCACTTGGGCCATCCTCCACTGCCTTCCCGGGCCACAGCAGAGAACTGGACTGGAAGAGGAAGAGCCAGGACTAGAACCCAGCGTCCATAGGGGATGCTGGTGCCGCAGGCGGAGGATTAACCAAGTGAGCCACAGCGCCGGCACCCAGGAAATGACTCTTAAAGACTATAATTTGTATAATTTATTTTCCTGTATTTTTATTTCATTTGATTCTCACAAAATTTAGACTGAAAACAACACTTTCTGGGAGGTGATTTTTCTGGGAGTTAATCTAAATATATTAGTGCCTCATCCAAAATCGCTTTCCCTTACAAGGGTGCATTTAGACGAGGGGAAAAGGACCTATACTAGGGTACAATTTCTTAAAGAGCAGCCATCATGAAGAATTTATTTCAACATCTGCAGCCCCTACTAAAGCTGAGACATAATAGTCCATAAGTTTGCCAGACAAAAGCTGAAACCGTTCACCCAAGCTACAAGCCCAGCTGTCCTGGTAGTGAAAACACTGAACTGGAAGCACGAGTGATATTCTGATTATTGACACATGATTAACAAGTGTGATTCTGTTCAGGACTGCACAGCTCTAACCGCAGGCTGAAAAAGCAGATCTGATCTGCATCCTGCCCATCTGCGGTTCCTCATCTCACAACCTGAAAACCACAGCAGAATCAAGACCTCCTCAGTCTGTGTTCATCGGGCTATACTTTCAGCCTCATCTTCCATTCCGCCCCTGCCCTCTGCTCTCCACTAACAACATGGTCTGGCCACAGCAAATTGACTTCCTTTATGTTTGCAGATGTCCGCACTGCCTGGAAAGCCCGACCACAGTTTCTAACAAAGTGAGGTTAACTGAGACATCTCAACCACCACTTTCTACAAGAAGCCCCTTCAGCCACTCCAAGGATACTCCACAGCCCCCTCACCAAACTGAGCTCTGAATGCTACCATCTTCGTATGCTGAACATAGAGTAGGGTAAATCATACTGCCTGGTATTTACTTAATAAAATGATTACTGAATCCACAGAATGCTATTCCATCATCAATGCTTGTAAAAATAAGCACTGTCAGCTTTAACAGCCTTTTACAAGGTCAAGACTAACACACATATTTAACTGGGTTGGAAAAATGGTCTATATGTCTCATCTACATCAGATTCGTAAATGATAAAAGGGAAAAAATCATTTATGTTACGTAGCAGAAACACTGTTTCTTCTGACTGTAAAAGCTCTAGAGAAATAAGGCCCATTACCAATCACGCATTTCAAATTATCAATGAAATTTGATTTTTAATAGCATATTATAGATGTTCCTGGCAGAAATTAGTATTTTAACTATAAATGAATATTAATATTTTGAATAAATGTCACTGGTATCATATAGCATGCTGATAGATTTAATTTAATTTCTGATCAAAATTAGTGGTTGCAATGAAGAGGCTAGCAAAGTTCATTTACTTGCACAAAAATGCTATACTCTGGGCTCATGCCATGTAACAGATGTGAAGCAGTGACAACATCTGTTGGATGGTATTCACAGTAAATCCAGTCTGTAGAGACCACATCATTCTAAAAAGAATTTAAAATGAAACACAAGTGGAAAATAGAAATAGAAAACCAAAGAACTAAAATATAAAAATAGATCTAGCCTTAAAACTTTTTAACAAAGCTGACTTTCATAATTCTGAATTTCTTAAAAAAATCACTCTCTGAAAAGGCCTCTCTCTGCAAAGTAGAGGATGGAGACAGATTGCCTTGGCGGGCCATGTTCATCATCCTAAAGTGAATTCCACCACAGTGGAAGTTATGCAGGTCAGTTCTGATACACACAAATACTGTTTTCAGGTCGCTCAAGTCAGCACTAACGCAATCCCGTTCCATGTCAGTGTGAAACGATCCAGACGCAGTCGAAGAGCCCTGCTTCATTTCCATACTCACCGCTACAGGCTCCTTCCTTAAATGAAATGGGGATTAAGATAAAAATATCCTGCTCCCCTCGTAAGATCAGTCAAGATCAGATGAGAAAAATTAGTATAAAAGTTCAAATGCCACACTAACGTTAACTTAAAAGACTAACATTTTAAAGTTATAGACAGAAAACACAGTAAAATTATTTTCCATGAACCAATAACATTATTCTAACTTTTGTAAAAAAAATATGAATTTTTTCTCAAATATAAAGCTTACCCTCAACTGACATCCAACTTTTTCATAAGCTTTGATGAGTCTATTTCTGTGGTACATCATTATTCCATAATGATCTTTATTTCTGCAGTTGAATCCAAAAGTAATTCTCACTGTTTTAGTCTCAAAATGTTAAGGAAAAGTATGAACACAATATCTCACTCCCTTCAAATCAACCTTTCTATGTCAATAAGTCCAAAAGTCCATAAAGAAGGGCAAAGCTGAGAGGGGGTAGACTGTATCAGGAGAAAAGGGGACAGGGCAAAGCGGAACATGCCTGACTGACATACACCTACACATGGCACCGCACAGAGGAAAAAGGATACTAAAAATTTGGGCCGGTAAACATCACGTTCGATGTAGGCAAGACTCTTCGAAACGAGCTGCGTCTTCACTTTCTGTCCACGTAAGATGATCTGCATTCTTGGCTTTAGATACAAGATACTGCAGTAAGCCTGCAGAAAAAACATAACAACATCTGTCCTTGCTAATTAATTATCTACAGATTGCTCACCACCACCCAGATGTGCACCTAAACAGAAGATCATTATCTTGCCTTAATAAAAGAACTTCAACTTTTCAGTGAAACATTTTAGACTATATAAAGCTGTAATAGTTATTCTGATTTATTTTTCATCAAAAATCAACTTCATATACTGTCATCAGTAGAAATGATTTGCAGAAACAATCTACTGATCTATAAAAACGCAGACATTATCACTGAGAGAAAAAAGTGATAAAAACCGCATATGTATGATGGCCAGTGCTAGTCCCGGCTGCTCCTCTTCCAATCCAGCTCTGGATTGGACAGCAGAGGAAGAAGGCATAAGCACGTGGGCCCCTCCACCCACGTGGGAGTCCTGGAAGAAGCTCCTGGCTCCTGGCCTCGGAGCAGCCCATCTCCAACCACTGCAGTCATTAGGGGAGTGAAGCAGCAGATGGAAGACCTTTCTCTCTGTCTCTCTTTCTCACTACCTATAATTCTACCTCTCAAATAAATAAGTAAAACCTTAAAAAAAAATGCATGTATTGAGGGTGGTTGTGGCTATATGCAATACCAGCATCTCACATGGGTTCCGGTTCAAGTCCCAGCTATGCCACTTCCAATCCAGCTCCCTGTTAATGTGCCTGGGAAAGCAGGGGAAGATGGCCCAAGTGCTTGAGCCCTTGCACCCACATGAGAGACTCAGACATAGCTCCAGGTTCCTGGCTTTGGCCTGGCCAATCCCCAGCCATTGCAGCCATTTGGGGAATGAACCAGCAGATGGAATATCTGTCTCCCTTCCTCTCTCTGTAACTTTGCCTTTTAAATAAATAATTTTTTTTCACTTTGGTGATTAAATTTTTTTTATTTAGTAAATATAAATTTCCAAAGTACAGTTAATGGATTACAATGGCTTCCCCCTAAATAAAATTTTTTTAAAAAAAGTATGGTATGATCTCATTTTAATTTAAAAAAAAAATGTGTGTATACACACACATACAGACAAAGGGACTTTTTCTGTCAAGTACATATGTTGCTATCAGAATTTATTTATTCATTATCTTTATTTGAAAGGCAGATTTACAGAGAGAGAGGAAGAAACACAGAGACAGGAGGAAGTGAGGTGGGAGGGCCTGGGCCAGGCTGAAGCCAGCCGCCTGGAACTCCTTCCTGGACTCCCACACAGGTGCAGTGGCCCAAGCACTTGAGCCATCTTCCACTGCTTTCCCATGTGCATTAGCACGGAGCTGGATTGGAAGTAGAGCAGCCAGGACTCGAACCGGCACTCATATGGAATGCCAGCATTGTAGGTGGTGGCTCAACCTGCTGTACCACAAAGCTAGCTTCCTTTCTATCACGATTCAAAAAGCAAAATTAATGTTTTTTAGCAAAAAATCATGAGCAAGGGACCGGCGCTATGGCACAGTATGCCAAGCCTTTGCCTGCAATGCCGGCATTCCATACGGGCACTGGTTCTGTCTTGGCTACTCCCCTTTCAATCCAGCTCTCTGCTACGGCCTGGGAAAGCAGTAGAAGACAGGCCAAGATCTTAGGCCCCTGCAACCAAGAGGAAGGCCTGGAAGAAGCTCGTCTCCTGGCTTTGGATCGGCCCAACTCTGGCCATTGTGGCCATTTGGGGAATGAACTAGCAGATGGAAGACCTTTCTCTCTGTCTCTCCCTCTATAGCTCTACCATTCAAATAAATAATAAATAAAATATTTTAAAAAAATAATAATCAGCAAGATTTAATAAAATTAGTGAGTAATATATACATTTGAATAGGAAAAAAGAATTCTACATAAGGGGGCCAGCGCTGTGGCACAGCAGGTAAAGCACTGCCTGTAATGCCAGCATCCCATAAGGGTGCTGGTTTGAGTCCTGGCTGCTCCTCTTCTGATCCAGCTCTCTGATATGACCTGGGAAAGCAGAAGATGGCCCAAGTGCTTGGTTCCCTGCACCCACGTAGGAGACCAGGAAGAAGCTCCTGACTTCAGATCAGCCCAGCTCTGGCTATTGTGGCCTTTGGGGAGTAAACCAGTAGACAGAAGACCTCTCTCTCTGCCTCTGCCTTTCAAAGAAAATCAATAAATTTTTTTAAAATAAATAAATAAAAAGAATTCTATATAATGCACCAATATCAAAGCCCAGTAGACAAACATAATGTATTTTTCAAAACTGCGCTGTAACAATCAGTGCTCATCAAGATACTTCTATGTCTTCAATTCTTAATGTATGAACGTTGAGCTACTTTAGAAAGTTTACTAAACTCTGTACTTTAAAATATTTTTTAAAAGATTTATTTATTTATTTGAAAGTCAGAGTTACACAGAGAGGAGAGGCAGAGAGAGGGAGAAAGAGAGGTCTTCCATTTGATGGTTCACTCCCCAAATGGCCACAACGGCCAGAGCTGGGCCACTCTGAAGCCAGGAGCCAGGAGCTTCTTCCAGGTCTCACATGTGGGTGCAGGGCCCAAGGACTTGGGCCATCTTCTACTGCTTTCCCAGGCCACAGCAGAGAGCTGGATCAGAAGTGGAGCGGCCGGGTCTCGAACTGGCACCCATATGGGTTCTGGCGCTTCAGGCCAGGACGTTAACCCACTGTGCCACAGCACTGGCCCTTTAAAATATTTTAAAATGAGAGGAAATCACAGTTCATTTAAGAAATGGAATTGAAAGGTAAATTATTTTGATGTGAACTTTTTGAAATCCACACATAGTTTTGTCATAATATGCATTTCCATGAAGACTCTTCATATATTCTCCCGTACCTGCTCCCAAGCTGCCAGAAAGCCCTAAAGAAAATGCACTGATCAACTCATAAAGCACTAATGAAAAGTTCAACACAAAACTAAAGTTTCAACACTTCTCTTCCTTTTTCTAACTCCTGAATTCAAAATATGTTGTCATTTATAAAATTTATGAGAAACATTTTAAAATAGTATACTTTGTAGTGTGCTAAAACCACACTATCTATTCTGGCTGCCTCTGGATCTGTTTCATATTTGGACAAAATTTTCTTAATAGCTAGAACATACCCCAGAACACATCAGGAAAAACCAAGGAACAACAAATGCCTGCCACTGTGACTTCTAGAAAAAGTCACACAACAAACCTGCTAACATCAAATAAGCCTGGGCCTGGGGTTCTGCAGTAATTTTAGTCCAAAAGATAAAAGCAAAAAGCATCATATCTTATCATAGCAACTAAGATACTTAATATTCTTTATTATATCAACACTGTTCTTCTGATATATTTGTTTCTTTAATCTTAAACACAACCTATGTCTAAGGTTAATTCTTAGAGATAATTATCACAAAGTTGAATTAATGAACATTATAATCTATAATTTATTGCTTTAGAAAAACAATTAATATACATTAGGCATGTATTGATACATCATAAACATTTTTTAAAGATTCTGAATTTGGTGTTTTCTGACTGAATTGATTACGATGGGCAACATACTGATACACTGGTTCCAACATTACCAATTCAATAATCAAATGCATACTAGAAATACAAGCACTTGACAGACCTAAGGACCTTGCAATTAACAAGGAAACATAACAAGTGAGCTAATGAAAACTTTAGTGATTTGGCTTCTGTCTCAGATGTTTTCATTCAGAGATCACTGGCAGCCTTCATATCGTAAGCAGGTACCGCAAACTCGGTTTCCTCATTGCACAGAGCGGAGCACCTACCCTCAGGGAGTAGTCACTTTCGGGGGCGATCTGGTCCATCCGTTCTTGCTTCTTGTACCCCTTCCTCCCAGTTGTCTCATCTAAGTCCTCAGGAATTCGGATGTCATATTTGTCTTTGTCAAAATCAAACTCTGTTGCATTTTTGTAGCTATAAAAACAATTTTCAGATAGAACCAAAATTTTACTTTGCAGCAATATAACCAAATACTACAGGTTGCTTACAAACAAAACATGGCATGAGGGGGAACGAGCAAAAGAAGAGGGAAAAAAGAGAATTCAAGAAGATGCCAGGAAACTGTTATCATTCATACCTTCCCGGGGTGGGAGGTGGGGGATATAAATGGTACAGCCATGTTGGGCAACAGTCTGGCAGTCCATTACAGTAAAACTGCAACTACCCTGACAGAGCAATTACACTTCCGTCCATTTACCTTAGAAAAATGAAGGCTGTGTTCGTACCAACACTTGCACGTGACTGTTCACACCTATTTTTTTTTTTTTTTTTTGGAATGGGCAAAAACTAAACAACCAGATGTCCTTTAACACACTGTGGCCCAGGCATACAAAGCAATGCTACTCAGCAAATAACAACCACTGATGCACACAAGAACCCGGATGAATCCTCAGAGAAGTATGAGTGAAAAAGACCAGTCCCCAAAGGTTTCGTACTGTATTCCACTTACATAACATTCTTAAAATGATAAATTTAGGGGCTGGCTCTGTGGCACAGCAGGTTAATGCCCTGGCCTGAAGTGCCAGCATCCCATATGGGCACCAGTTCTAGTCCCGGCTGCTCCTCTTCCGATCCAGCTCTATGCTATGGCCTAGGATAGCAGTAGAAGATGGCCCAAGGACTTGCACCTGCGTGGGAGACCTGGAGGAAGCTCCTGGCTCCTAGCTTCAGATCAGTGCAGCTCTGGCCATTGCAGTCATCTGGGGAGTGAACCAGCGGATGGAAGACCTCTCTCTCTGTCTTTACCTCTCTCTGTAACTCTGCCTTTCAAATAAATAAATCTTTTAAAAAAATGACTAATGTATAGATTTGGAGAACAGATTAGAAATTGCCGGGGATTAAGAAGGTAGAAGATAGATGTGGCTACAAAAGGGCAACATCAGGGGAATTCTCTCAGTGATGAAAAGTGCCCTGTATCTTGACTGTATCAACATCAAGAACTTGTCAATATCAATAAACTGTTTTCTAGCTCTTACAAGATGTTATCATCAGGAAAGGCCAGGCAAAAGGTACATGACATCTCAGAATTACTTGTTACAATTGCAGGTAAGTCTATAATTATCTTAAAAACTTTTAACTAAAAATTATAAAAAACCCTACAGGAGGACAGACCAAAAGAAAATAGAGTAGGTGTTTGGTGCAGTAGTTAAGCCACCACCACGCACATTCTCTACTGGAGTGCCTGGCTCAAGTCCAGCTACTCCACTTGCAAACCATCTTCTTGCTAATGCACACACTGGGAGGCAACAAGTGACGGGTCAAGAACTTGGGTCCCTGCCACCCATGGGGAGACCTGGGTTGAGTTTTGGGCTCCTAATTTTAGCCTGACCCATGCCCAGCTTTTGCAGGCATTTGAGGAGGGAACCAAATTTCTATCTCTGCCTTTCAAGTAAAAATGAAAACAAACTTTTCTAAAATAAACAGCAATCTTAGGCTAACCACTACTTGTTGCTTTATTCTTCAGCCTATCTTAGCTCTCTATATTACACATTAACACTAAATTTTAAAACTTTTATTTGCAATGGATTTTATACTCATAAGGATAATGAACTATAAATTTTTAGAAACAAAAATTTTACCTATATTACTTTTCTTAACAGATAATAAATCCTCCTTTACAAAGGGAAAATGGACAAGGATTACTCTTTAACTTTCACAAGCTGAACTTTTTTTTTTTTTAAGATTTATATTTATTTGAGAGCTAGAGTTATAGAAAAGGGGAGTGAGAAAGAAAAAAGTCTTCCATCCTCTGGTGCACTCCCCAAATGGCCGCAACAGCCAGAGCTGGGCCGATCCGAAGCCAGGAGCTACTTTCAGGTCTCCCATGTGGATGCAGGGGCCCAAGCACTTGGACCATCTTCTACTGCTTTCCCAGTACACAGCAGAGAGCTGGATCGGAAAAGGAACAGCCGGACACGAATGGTGCCGCAAGCAGAAGCTTAGCCTACTACGCCATAGTGCCGACCCTTGTCTTTCATTTTTTTGAGAAGAAGGTAGGATAATAGAATAGAAAGCTAATGGAGACTGAATGGCAGAGACAGGGAATTTACTGCAGCAATATCAAAATATCTCAAAATGAAGTCAGAGTGGATTCTGTGAAATATCCCTGGAAAAGTCAATTCACGAACGAACTATGTCCAAAAGAGTACCTTCCCATGCGTCTCTACTCTGTATGAGACATTTATAAGGAAACCACTTCCCAAATGGCCAGCACCCAGTTGAAGTGTACAAGTGTACATTTACCTTCTAAGATTCCAAATGATGATCCTCGTCCCCTTCTTACCCATAATAGCATCAAGTTCTGCCAGTAACTTCTGCTCCGTAGAAAACAGAGAATGTTCCAGAATTGCAGCAAGGCTTGCTTTTGATTCTGCTAAATTAATCATCTGTCGTATATCCGAAGTTAAGACTGAGATCAGCAATGTATTTTTAAATTACAGTATGAAAATCACCTTAATAAACAAGTAACAAAAAAGCCATTTCCTAAATTATTTTATAAGCTTTAAAATGGCACTTTGATCTTATAAATGAACACCAAGCAGGATTAAAAAATAAGTTTACTATTATTCCAAACTAATTTAATGCCTTCTAATACTTCAATCTGTTTATAAGGAAGGCATTTTCTTACAGCTACCTGGCTTTTCAGGGTCATTTGTTAGCAATATTTTCAAACCAGACTATCAGTGTCTTACTTGTTCATAGTGAGTCTGAAATAAAGAGGACAGTCTTAGGAAGCCTAACAAAATGCAACCACTTCATGCTGAGGATTTCCATGGCACAATTCTGACAGAGAAGAGAAAGGGACAAACCCTTACTTGGCCTCTGGTGTAATGTAAAGGCAGTAGACAAAGACATGAGCTGAACAGCTATGATTAAAAACCACAAGTTTGGAGGAAGGCAGAAGGACAGCATGTTTGAGAATATTTCAACGGTTTCTCCACAGCTTCTGTTTCAAAAGCAAAAGGATATGGTGCTTGTTGAATGCCACTATTGGGACAACAACATGTTCTGCTTTTATGACTTCCAAGTAGGTCTGAGACAAGAAGCCCACGCTCATGCTTTCTCCATTTTTGGTAAAAACGATTGCATCTTTACCCAAGCGCATAGAACCTGACTTGAAGCCATTCCCATACAATCCAACTGGGACATGACCATTCATGGTGACTTTGTCACTGAAGCCAAAGCTAAAAAGAACAGAAAGATTTAAAACATAAATAACGATCTTCCTCAATGTTTTTTTAAAAAACACAACAAGTATAATAGCAAGTACATGCAACCACTGTAATGCTGCATACTCTCAGGCAAATTACTCTAATCCCTCCTCTCTGAAATGAAGAAAACCAAATCTATCATCCAAGGTGTAAAGATTACAGGTATTACCACAGGAGCTCATCACCTGGCACTCTCTGATTAAACAGGCAATTTAAAATCTGAGCCCCTGGGCCCTGAGATCGCACCCCATGAATCTCTTCCTCTCAGTATGAATCATTCTCTTGTTAGCAAGCCTACCATGGTATGATTAATGAAGGACTCAATGTGATTTGCTGGCAGCACAAGGAGTATTTAAGGGGCAGAGAGTTCCCTGATTCTCACTTCTCCCTCTACCCTGCACCTGTACTCTGTATCTCAGGCACATCTGGACTCCTACTGATGCCATGTTCTCTGAAACAAGGCTTTACTATTTTATGCTGCGTCCTCACTCCCTCAAAGTGCCAGGTTTTATTAGAAATACTGGTTCAAACCAATGTGTATTACGTGTAAATAACGGATACCGATGTGCTACAACTTGACGGCAATGGCAGAACTCTAGGAGTAGGTACTGAGAACATGGAGACTGCCTAAAGCTACAACAGCAGAACAAGATGGAAGACTCTTAAAGAATAGATCAGATAGCGGTTACAGCAATTTCATGTTTAAGACACTAAAAACAAAGGACGGTGTATATGACACTTGAAACCATACAAGCAAAGACTTTAAGAAGCACACCACATTTTTACATACCTCAGCATTTTATGTAATTTATCTGAAGTCATACCATTCCCATTATCAGTGAATGTCAAGCATATACGCTCATTTATCACTGTTTTGTCAATCCATATCTGTTTAGCATTCACATCAGGATCGTAAGCATTATCTGGGAAACAAAAGTTTTGAGAAATTCTCATTTCACATTTTAAGTAAGATCAATTAGTTCAGAACAATCCTGTAAGAAGGAACTGAATACCACATTTTAAGATAACTTTGAAAGCAGCAACTTTGGAACTCCTAAGAAAACATGAAATTACTCTGCATCCTGCATCTGAATTACTCATTGGCTAGTACAGATTTAATCCTTCCCAAAGCCCTTTATGTTAAGCAGAGAGCAAAGGCTGGTACCTACTACACTGAAGAGTATAAAGGAAGAAAACTCAAGGCACTTACAGAGATGATTCAGAGGGACTAGCCTGGCTGCCACATGGAACCTGGAATTCTCTACTAGCACTAGTTGACATGGAAGGTACACACAACTGTCATTCAATAAAGGGAAGGCACTGTCATTTTCTACTAAGCAATATGCACAGACAGAAGATAAGACTGCTTAACAAATTTCAAATGGTGGTCCTTGAGTTTCACTGAAGTTTCTTGAGAGCTTTACAATTCTATATCTGTAAACTCATCCCTTTAATATCCTGTTTAGCGTACTGGCTAAAGAGTAGCAATAGAATAGGCAAGTATGAAGGGATACATTAAAAACAGAAAATAAGGGCAGGTATCATGTCATAGCAGATTGGGCCACTGCTTAGGACAACACATCCCATACTGGAGCGCCTAGTTCCAGTCCTGGCTCTTCCACTTCCAGTCCAGCTCTCTGCAAATGTGCACTCTAAAGGGGGCAGATGATGGTTCAAGTACTCGAGTCCCTGCTTCCCAAGTGGGAGGCCTAGATGGAGTTTTTGCCTCCTGGCTTCACCCTGGCCCAACCTGACTATTACAGGCATTTGGGGAGTGAACCAGGGGATGGAAGATTCTCTCTCTCCCGCTCTGTCACTCAACCTTGAGTCTGGCCCAGCCCTGGCTGTTGCAGGCATTTGGGAGTGAATCAGCAGGCAGGAGCTCTCTCAAATAAATTTAAAGAACAATATTCAATATAACACGACCTTGATCATCCCATTGGCTGGAGAAATAATTTACTATAACTAAAATATAAAATTAACACTTCTAACACCAGAAAAATTAATCCATTCTGTATGTACACAAACTTTTTCACTAAATGTAATTTTTATTTTTTACTTTTATAACCAGAATAAAAATACTTCCAATATCATTTATGATCACAGCAAATTAAATCCTAAATATTATGAAGTACTTGGATAACTTATGGGAGAAGGTAGAGAAGTCACTAATACAAGCCTTAATAGTTTTTATGGTAGGTCACCTTCACCACTAGTTTGTTGGGTTTTTTTGTTTGTTTTTGTTTTTTTTGACAGGCAGAGTGGACAGAGAGACAGAGAGAAAGGTCTTCCTTTTCCGTTGGTTCACCCTCCAATGGCCGCTACGGCTGGCACGCTGCAGCCAGCGCACTGCACTGATACAAAGCCAGGAGCCAGGTGGTTCTCCTGGTCTCCCATGCGGGTGCAGGGCCCAAGCACTTGGGCCATCCTCCACTGCACTCCCAGGCCACAACAGAGAGCTGGCCTGGAAGGGGGGCAACCGGGACAGAATCCGGCGCCCCGACTGGGACTAGAACCTGGTGTGCTGGTGCCGCAGACAGAGGATTAGCCTATTGAGCTGCGGCGCCGGCCATAGTATTATCATTTAAGATACATTTTTAAAGTGCATTTGTATATTATTTTTCAATAAATAGCTTTAAAACTACAATCACAAACCACAGATCATACATGAAATGTCAGTTTACATACCTATTAATTCAGCAACTGCACTGAATGGCCAAGTGTGACTAGTAGAGTTTGTATGTAAAAACTTCGGACAAAGCTAAAACAAAATAAAGATTCATATAAGTTAATCTGAGCCTTACTTTTGAGAACAGAAACCAATATAATCTTTTGTTCCCATGATAACCAACACTGAAACCAAACAAAAATGACTTAGCTAGTGGGTGCAAGGTGTATCTGGAAGATAAAACCTAAATGATTTCTGGAAAATAAGGCTGAGAACCAACTAGATAGCTCATACATTAAGACTCTTTTCAAAACCCATCTTAAAACGATCCTGCCAAGGCCCTAAAATCCCATAAACAGCATTTTCTAATCTGTCCACTTTGAGCCACAATCTTGTCTGGGGGGTGTTTTCTCCTTAGTGTATTAGGTCTAATCAGTTTAACTTTGCTTGGTCAGCAGCTTTTCTGGTGTCTCTTCAAGAGTCAGTATTTGACGCCTCAACTTGATTATAGCACTTACTCAAAGCTCACTACAGTTGAACATGCAGGGCAGTGTCATGGTATGCACCTGAAAACTCTGAACAGCAACAAGTAATAGTTTCCATGTAACAAACCATCTTGCTAGAGTCTTACCTCCGATTTTTCTCACAATAGTCTAAAAGAATATGCCAATCAATCACATCATAGGGAACACTCCAAATTCCTGATGACTGCAGACATCAAATGTATAGTATATACATGGTTTTAAAAGGATGAGGCTTGAGGGGCCAGCGCTGTGGCATAGCGAGCTAAAGCCCTGGCCTGAAGCACCGGCATCCCATATGGACACCGGTTCTAGTCCTGGCTGCTCCTCTTCCAATCCAGCTCTCTGCTATGGCCTGGGAAAGCAGTAGAAGATGGCTCAAAGTCCTTGGGCCCCTAGCACCCACGTAGGAGACCTGGAGGAAGCTCCTGGCTCCTGATCGGCACAGCTCCAGCCGTTTCGGCCATCTGGGGAGTGAAGGAGCAGATGGAAGACCTCTCTCTCTGTCTCTACCTCTCTCTGCAACTCTGTCTTTCAAATAAATAAAATAAATCTTAAAAAAAAAGGGGGGGGGATGAGGCTTGAAACTGTCAATATGCAGAGAATTTCCATGCAACTTTTCTTGTGTTCATTTTGAAGATTCTCTCATGGTTAAGGAAAACAAGAAAAGGGGCATTGTGTTTAGTGTGAAGAGCCTGAGAAATAGGACTAGATTATCAATCAAGGCAACTACATTTATAATGCTCAGCTGCTGCCAACAGGTGCCAGGACAGATCCTCTTTTCCTCTGCTTTCCCACATTTGCTGTTTAGTCAGTCTTCAACTCTTTGTTTATCATCAGGTTCAAGTATTACTCATGTGATAAATGGTATCTTACAGAAGCCTGTTCTTCAATTTAAAATACATGTGATTCTCACTTTCTATGCCATACATTGGATAATACAGCGTAACACATTCACAAAATAAGGATACGTAACTCAGTCATTCTAAAGTATACATCACAGTTTTAAATGAAAAATCAATTTCTAGATCTTCATCCTGCACAATAAGCTTTTTCTCAAATGTAGTGTCTACCTGACAAAATGCCAGCAGTCCCAATCAGAAAGATCCTCCTGACCCACTGCCACCCCTTGCACGATCTCTGTTTATAAAATGGCATATTCCTTGCACATTCTACATCTTACTATAGAGCAAGCCCATGGAGTGTAAAACCTCTGGATACCAGAAGAGAAGATGATTTGTCACTACCGCAAATCCTTACAGCTCTGTCTCTGCTGCATTTTATGTATTTGTTAGGGGTGAAGTCTGGAGCTAGAAATGGGGTGTTTTGGTCCACACTATGACAGCCAGAATTTAGATGTAAGGTACAATGTGGTGATGCAACCGCCCACTACTCACTGAATGACTTCAGTCCCTACACTGATGCCAAACCGACAAGGCACACAATTTCGGTGTAACATTTCCCTGAGAGCAAATTGAAAAGCGCATCAGTAAGAAAAGACAACAAATGCTGAAGAGTGGCTTCTTGGTTATTTAAACACAAGCAATTATCTTTAACCATCCTTAACCTCATTCTTTAGAACATGACCTTAGCCAGAAAGAAAAACTACTCTTGAACAGACAAGGCACACGCTAGAGCAGAGCACGGAGCAGGTGAACTGGATGTGCGAGCCTGGGCAAGGGCCTACCTGCTGTGCCTCAGGTTTTGCCATCTCTAACTGAGGATGACCCACACTATCAGCTCAACAGGGTGCCAAGAAAATTACAAGACAATATATTTAAGTGCTCACAAGCATGCCTGGAACAAGTAAGCATTGTAAGTATGAGTTCATATAAAGACAAGGAAATATGTGAGGGCCTCAGGTAAAGGAACTAAAACCAAAATACAATTTGAAAACGAGAATTGAGTAGGGTTTAGAGCAGGGATACTTAACTGGATATACAAAGATCTTGGTTTTCATGTGACTCAGGGTTAGAAGATTCAGCAGAAGAGAAGCAGGTATTTGACTGGAAGTAACAAGTCCTCCACCCCAATACAAGAGTAGACTACACTTTGGCTAGGGAAAATCTGCCTAACAGGAATCATATCTGCTCCAGTTTGGATTCTAGGTCCCCATCCTGTCCTCCCAAATCCCAAAGAAACTATAACATGAAAAAGTGTAAAAAGAATCAGACAGCCTCAACCAGACAGCACAGGATTCCCTTAGGTAATTATTTGGGAAATATTTGGGTATACAAACCAAAATAATCAAACATTTAAAGAAATAATCCACCAATATTAACAGACCAGTATAGTAGTTTTAGAGAATACTCCTGGAGAACATCGAACATCACCCTGTAAAACACACTTAAAGTGACATTTGAAAATAATTTACAGAGGCAGTGCTAAGGTGCAACGGGTAAAGCTGCTGTCTGCAGCACCGGCATCCCCTATGAGCACCAGCTGGAGTCTCGGCTGCTCCACTTCCCATCCAGCTCCATGCTAATGTCCCTGGGAAGGCAGAAGATGACCCAAGTCCTTGGGCCTCTGCACCCACATGGGAGACCCAGAAGCAGCTTTGGGCTCCTGGCTTCAGCCTGGCCTACTGTGGCCATCTGGGGAGTGAACCAGGGATGGAAGATCTCAATCTCTCCCTCCCTCTCTCTGCAATTTTGACTTTCAAATAGAAATAGATGTTTTTTAAAAATAACAATTTAGGCCGGCGCCGTGGCTCACTAGGCTAATCCTCCACCTTGCGGCTCCGGCACACCGGGTTCTAGTCCCGGTCGGGGTGCCGGATTATGTCCCAGTTGCCCCTCTTCCAGGCCAGCTCTCTGCTGTGGCCAGGGAGGGCAGTGGAGGATGGCCCAAGTGCTTGGGCCCTGCACCTGCATGGGAGACCAGGATAATTACCTGGCTCCTGCCATCGGATCAGTGCGGTGCGCCGGCCGCAGCGCGCCGGCCGGCCGCGGCGGCCATTGGAGGGTGAACCAACAGCAAAGGAAGACCTTTCTCTCTGTCTCTCTCTCTCACTGTCCACTCTGCCTGTCACAAAAACACACACACACACACACACACACACACACACATGAATGCAAGACTATAGAATTGAAATAGATTCTTAAAAAATCAACAGAACTTTTAGAATCAGCAATGAGTCACAAAACTTTAAAAATCTACATATAAAACTTTTAAAACATGGAAGCTTAAATGTTTGGACTGTTTACTTCCGCTCTCGCCTAAAACTCTCCAAAATGAAAATTAAAAAGTCATAAACCAGGGCCAGCACTGTGGCGTAGCAGGTAAAGCTGCTGTCTGCAGTGCTGGCCTCCCATATGGGCACCAGTTCGAGTCCCGGCCGCTCCACTTCCAATCCAGCTCTCTGCTATGCCCTGGGAAAGCAGTGAAAGATGGCTCAATTCCTTGGGCCGCTGCACCCATGTGGGCGACCTGGAAGAAGCTCTTGGCTCCTGATCTGGTGTAGCTTTGGCTGTTGCGGCCAACTGGGGAATGAACCAGTAGATGGAAGACCTCTCTCTCTGCCTCTCCTTCTCTCTCTATGTAACTCTTTCAAATAAATAAATTAATTAATTTTAAAAAAAGTCATAAACCAGAGCTGGCACTGTGTACAGTATGCTAAGCCTCTGCCTGTGGCACCAGCATCCCATGTGTGCACCGGTTTGAGTCCCAGCTGCTTCTCTTCTGATCCAGTTCTCTGTCTATGGTCTGGGAAAGCAGTGGAAGATGGTCTAAGTCCCTGGGCCCCTGCACCCACATGTGAGACCTGGAAGAAGCCCCTGGCTTCAGAGTGGCCCAGCTCCAGCCGTTGTGGCCATTTGGGGAGTGAACCAACTGATCAAAGACCTTTCTCTCTGTCTATAACTCTACCCTCCAAATAAATAAATAAAATCTTTAAAAAAGTTATAAATCTAAAAGAACAAAAAGAATTGGAGAAGTGATAGGTGGCAGCAGATAACATAATCATTAGCATGGACTTTGGAAAACACAGATTAGTGATACCTGATGTAATAGCCTGGAAGGAATTAATTAAATCCAGTCTGTCTTTCTTTCTTTCTTTCTTTCTTTCTTTCTTTCTTTCTTTCTTTCTTTCTTTTTTTTTTTTTTTTTTTTTTGACAGGCAGCGTGGACAGTGAGAGAGAGACAGAGAGAGAGAGAGAGAGAAAGAGGTCTTCCTTTTCTGTTGGTTCACCCCTCAATGGCCGCTGTGGCCGGTGGGCTGCGGCCGGCGGGCTGTGGCCGGTGGGCTGCGGCCGGCGGGCTGCGGCCGGCACACTGCGCTGATCCGAAGCAAGGAGCCAGGTGGTTCTCCCGGTCTCCCATGCAGGTGCAGGGCTCAAGCACTTGGGCCATTCTCCACTGCACTCCCTGGCCACAGCAGAGAGCTGGCCTGGAAGAGGGGCAACTGGGACAGAATCCGGTGCCCCCGACCGGGACTAGAACCCGGTGTGCCGGCGCTGCAAGGTGGAGGATTAGCCTAGTGAGCCGCGGCGCCGGCCTAAATCCAGTCTTAAGGTGACTGGGAAAAAAAAAAGGTGATGGAAAGCCGAACAAGAACCAAGCCGCGATCCTTGA